AGTGCGTGTATGTGTGATCAGGCAGGAGTGTTTGCATGAAATCATCCGTCAATTGCATCGCCAAAATTGCTCTCTCCTTACTCAAAGACTGCCATTTGTTTTTTCAGGGTAGCTCACCTGGTATGCACTAGCTCCGACTATGATTGGCATAAAGGCAATGTTGACCAGGGCGAGCTGCCAGCTGTACATGAAGGAGATGACGAGGGCGGCGATGATCAGGCAAATTGCCTCCAGCATGGAACCCAACTGAGAACCGGTCACCAACTCCAGACTGGAGACCTCCGTGGCCAGTCTGGCAGTCAGGATGCCTGGCTGGTTTTCCATCCTATCAAACCAGCCTGTCTCCTATTAAAGCCAACATACGGAGAAGAGAAAAATCAGTGAAAATGTGCATATGCAAAGAGCTTAACTTCAAAACGAGGGCCATTTAACACATAGGAAGGCGCAACATCTTACAAATACTGTAGGACTAATTGGCTTTGAGGAGATAGAAAGTACCAAAAGAATTTTGAGTAAAGAAGCAGAGGAAGATGCGATCACTGGAACACGATTTTTATTTCCCTGATGTTTCGGATTCTGTCGAGAATCCTTAATCACAGATAAACGTAGAATGGCGTGAGACATGCGAAGATTGAGATGATACGTGCACATATTTTGCGGTAACTGTCGAGATAAAGCTGTCCTCTCGAGGACCATGAATCAGACCGTTATGTGTACCTCTTATATATAATGTTTATAGCCTTATCACGCATGTAAGAGCTGAGGCACCCTTACCATTACTTGACACATGTTCTTGGGATCTGATTATGCTTGGTACGCGCAGACACCCTGCCTGGAATTATGAGTTACTGCGTGTGAGCCGCGTTCGGTCGCCATCTTGAGCTCGTGGCAGGTGAATGAGGGCGAAAAGTGTGCCCTATGGATGCTGCACAACGTTTTTCTCCATTTAAAGTAATTTACTTGATAGTAACGCGTTTTATATCTGATCACGGCAGGAATGATCGTTTTTAATGGTCAAAGGGCTTCATTTGAGGCCATACTGCTCATCTTTTTTAAGGTTTCATTACAAAAATGAATTGCGACTTTGTCTTCACCCTGTAGACCGTTGAGCATTTGCCGGATAAAGGCTGGGTCTTCTAAGGAGTGTGTTGCTCTCTCCTCTACAGCAGCTCTTTGCACCCATCCGACACCAGGCAACTGACCAGCTGGGACGGTGGTTTGATGACAGAGGTGGAGGAGAGAGTGAAGTCGATGGCTCAGCGCATTTACCTTATACACAATCTGACGCCTTTGAAGCCA